ACGTGAAAGGACACTGTAGAGAGGTTGGTGCTGGTCTCTTCTCGCAGGTAATTAGTGACAGAACTAGAGGGAATGGCTTCAAGCTCCAACAGGGTAGGTTTAGACTGAACATTAGGAAAGAATTTTTCACAGAAAGAGTGGTCGGGCATTGGAACAGGCTGCCCAGGAAGGTGGTTGAGTCACCATCCCTGGACGTGTTTAAGAGCCATTTAGATGTGGTGTTGGGGGATATGGTGTAGGGGAGAACTTTGTAGAGTAAGGTTGGTGGTTGGACTCAATGATCCCAAGGGTCTTTTCCAACCTAAATGATTCTATGATTCTATGATTAGCATAGTGCATGGCATATGACTTCAGTAAGGACATAGCTTTTAAAGGCTGCATTCTTAAGTACCTAGAAAAATATTGAGGCCACAATGCTCTTATGTCATGCCCATACTGAAAGAATGGATTCCAAAATTAGGAGGCTATGAAAGAAATAGCATCTTTTCTGTCTTTCCAATGAAGTGGAAGGAAACAGGCACTCTGCCTCCCCAAGTTACTACCATTTGTTTTGGAGTGCTGTCATTCAGCATGGAGAGGAAATGAAAAACTCAGAACTTTTATCTGTTCAGGGTTCATCACGACCTAGGCAACCAATGACCGATTTCCTACCAGAAACAAATAGAAGCCTTCCCCAAGTCAAGAAACAGTAATGGAAAAGTACTGGTCTTATTGCCATTTCTTTCAGCACAAAATGATGAGGTATCATTCAACAAGCACTCTTGATCTGTCATATTGATTCTGATGGAACAAGCAGGCCTGAAAAGTCAAATAACAGTTTCTCTGTGAATATCTAAACAAATCAGAGTTCTGAGTATCTTAGAACTTGCAAAATTTCCAAAGGAGAGTTGCTACCAGTCATCATTAAAATAGACTAATCTTTTATTAAAGGCTATATAAAAAAAATTGCCCATTTCCTTTTTTTTTTTTTTCAATAAAATAAGCTCTGACAGTGGCAGTTCAGTTTAGTACTTCAAATGCTTCATTTTTAAGCAGCTGTCTACACCCTACATAATGAACTTTCAGGTTTGCAGTCTAACAGGATTTCACATATATTGGATTGGCAAATCCGAATAAAAACATATTGTGTCTATATTACAAGGCTCTTTTTGTAGGAAAAAGATTAAATATTCCTCCCTGTAAAGATGGATTTTAAATAAATTAATGTAGTTTTCTTCAGATTGGCTGCATTTGTATAGTTAACATCTTTTCCTGATTCCAGTGTCAAGAATTAGTAAGCATAAACAATTACAACTCTAAGCACGCACATAGTAAGAAATCCAACTAATACTTTCATTTTTGAAGGGCTATTGCTACCAAATCTGCTATTTTCTGACAGAGAGGAAAGACAATTTGTAGGTTTGATGGTGCGAGGTAATACTGTTACTATAGGAAAACGTGTCTATGGAGTTAGAATGACATTGTAAATAGCAATGGAAAAATGCAGATAAAATTAGTTAAGTAACCGGAGTGCAGACAGATTGGTCCCACTGATTTGCTGTCATGAAAAATGCTTTGCATTAGTGTCCTTGGCATGAATTAGTATTTTCCTGTTGTACTTTGTATTACATTAAAACGTGCTACTCAAATTACATCTTGACTGAATTAGAAGAGTGCAATGTATACTTGTACTTTGGGTACCTCAATATGAGTCTTACAGTTTGAAAGATTCCACTGACATCACTGTTCTTTAGGTTTAAACTAGGGAAGACCACTATTAACAGTATTTTATTTTTAAAAGGTTAAAAAAAACCCCATGCTGTGTTTTCAAGAGAACCATATAAGTTCAGTCTTTGCCACAGGTATATCAGCCACATATTTGTGGATTTTCAATGAAGCAGAAGCAAGAATCAGTAAAGCATAATATCTGTCCTTTAACTTACAAAAGCTGCTTTTCATGGAATATTAAATGCCTATCACGTACGCAGAAAGAGTCAGAAGTGATTAACTGACTGCATATACAAAATCCTTATGTTCATCAGACATTTCTGTTCCAGTAACCATTGTCAAGGAGTAGTGTTTTAATCCTTCAGCTTGGTTTTCTTTTGCTTAGGTTAGACTGAACTCCAACTATCTTTCACAGGAAGATAAAAAATCATGAGCACAAATTGTTTAAACTGCACTTTTAAATTACTTACAAAAGAACTATAGAAAAACCCTAAACCTATTCCACAGGCCAGATGATCTGTGTACACATTACTGTCACCCTGTACTGCGTGTCTGCCATTTCATCAAAACCATTTGCTTGGAATCAAATTCCAAGTAGTATTTATCCTACAACAGAATAATCAAATTTTATATAAGCATATGGCAATGAATTTCACTCTTGCAATAACTCGTACTTAAGTCCACAAAAAGATTGTTCAAGCCCTTAACTGTTACTGCTACTAAATGATCTTAATATTACAAGTGAGGATCAGAATTTTCTTGTGTTACATTCCTGAAATAGTCCTTTTCTAGGTTATACTTCGTAGTGTGAAAAAGAAAAGAGCAAATATTTGAGGTAAGATTTTAATAATTAAAATATTACAACAAAGGTTCAAGTAGAATGAATGTTCTCCCTAAAAATCAAAAGCAGAGTATTGGGAAGGAACAGTATCTAGAGGTTTCTGTCATTATCCCTGCCAGTGGTTCCTTCAGCCATTCATTCTTAACTTTACTTAATAAATAGTAACCTTTAAGAAACAAGGTGAAATAGTCTCTGTCTCATAGCCAGAGTATCATGAAAGTGTATATTGATTATAAATACATGGTAATGTATTTCCTGCAAATGTAGAAGGTCAATATAGTTTTTACTTAAGTTTAAAAAAGTCAGGGGAAGAAGAAGGAGGAGTTGAGCCACAGAAGTGGTGTTAGCAGCATTCGTAATCCATTTTGCCATGGAAACTGTTGCACTGTGGAATCCCTGTCTGCTGTGAGCACAGGTTGCTAAGGAAAGAGAAGTAGACAGCTGTTAGAAGGCTATCAGAGCAATTCATAATGATAGGAGGGCGATTAGCTCCCACATCCTTTTTCTCATTATCATTAAATCATGGCTTACTGTTAACATGTTGTTCTTCCAGGATAAGTGACTACTGTAATTTTCTTACTGAAAAATCTGAGAGTTTAGTATAAAATGTGTAAAAAAGATCACCGATGCTGTGCTTATTTTAAATAACATCCCATACTTCAATAGCTTGTGCCACTTTGTTTACCTACTGAAATATGTCCTTGAAGATTAAGTATATACACTTAGGATGTGGCAGCTGCCACATCATGGGAAATGTTTCCCACTAAAAGCTGTCACTGCATTAATAACAGTAAGTACTTTGGGAAATGTAGAGAAAAGAACTGAATCAGAGCTCAGGCACCCCCTGGACCTGCTTACCTACTAATTTACTCCTGGACATGCTTCCTTAACTTGCCTTGAGGTTACCAACTATATAAATTCTACTTCTGTTAATGGCAGTGCTTCCTGCAGTCTTGAACAGTATATCACTTATCTATATTTAAGTTCAATAAAAGCCTAGAAGGAAACTGCTATTCATCTGATGGGCTTTTCCTCTAGTTTGCTGGCAGTTTCTAGGACTTTCCTTTTGGGCCCAAGCTCCTTGAAATACGCAGTTGCAGCTACTCCTAGTTTAAAAAGCAGAGGGTGGGTGGGTTCTTTATTTCCAGCTGCTCAGAGATGTTACCACAGGAGTAGAGCCAGATAAGGGAGAAAAGCTGGTCTAGGGTAGGAGATGCTTTTACTGCTGTGTCAAACCTGGTATTGCACAGAATTAAATTCAAGGTTCTGTTAGTTCCACTAAAGATTCTGAAAAATAAGGTGGGGTTTGTTTTTTTTTGCTTTCTCTGAAGAGGAAGAAGTGTAATTATCCATTCTACAAGCAACACTGCAAAAAACCACACCAAAGCTAAGTGACTAGCTAAAATTAACTGACCTCACTAAGCGCGTAATAGAGAGCCTTTTTTATGACATGCCGACCCTGTCCTACAAAGTGATATGCTTAAAATTTTTGTAGTAAGTAAGCAAGCAAGCATGAAAAAGTTACATTACTTGAGATCTATTCTGGGCCCATAACTAAATAAATCTTCCAATTCCATATGTGTACAGGAATAGATGGTATTGGACAAGTATTTGAAAGGAAGAGAGAGCCTATAGATAACATTAGATTATACAAAAATATACAAAAATACAGTGTTTCAACAAAGGCTTTGCATGCAAGAAGGGAAAAACTGAAGTTAGGGTCCTGCGTTGTACTCAGACTGAAATGAGGGACTGAATCATGAAATACATCCTGGCAAATCTGTGGGAACGGGTGGGAAAAAAGATCTTGTTATTGCTTTAATATAATCTGGAAGGGGAGTTGTTTTCTGTACGGTGTTGTATGATTGCAATATACTTTTGCTTTCAAGTCTCAGTATTTCATTATGACAAAAATGAAGTTCAGAGAGGGTGGTTTGTTTGGTGTATGAGCATTTGATTAAAGGTGAACATGAATAAGTGAATGCTTAGCTGAGACATGAATGCTTAACAGAGATATGAACAAGATAGAGAAAAGAAGAATCAAAAATGTCAGTTTTCCAGGAAGGGAGTTAAACTGAGGTAGAAAGTTTAACCTGAACATCAAGGAATTCTTCATTGCAAGGATGCAGATATAAGAATAATCTTCAGTGAAAATACCAAAAATGTAGATGCTTCTCATTTTTTAGTGTAAAGTGTCCGAGTACTATGAAAATGATTCTGCATGTAAAGAGTAAAAACTAAATAAGTTTTTTGGTTCTGGGTTTTTTTTGCTGTTTTGTTTTTTAATCTTTTAATATTAGTCATTCAAATCCAAGTTAGCTTTTGGCTGAGCACTTTCTATATGCTCCTCCATTATATATAAGGAACAGATGATTAGGGAAATAAAGTATTTTGAAAAAATAATTTACTATCTTTCATATTCAATTCTAATACTTCCTTTTTATTTCAGGGTCCAAGTTGAATTCTATATGAATGAAAATACATTTAAAGAGAGACTAAAGCTCTTCTTCATCAAAAACCAAAGATCAAGTAAGCAGTTGTATTAATTTCTGTTACACATAATTGTGATACTTTGAGTAGAATTCAATTCCATTGAAGGTAAAAGCAAAGTTACCATTAATTTTATTCTGAGCTAAAATTTCACCCCATAGAGGAATTGATTTTACATAATATCCAAATCAATTCAGAAAGTATTATTTTAAACTAAAACCATCATAGATATTTTGTAAGATCGAATACATACTGGTGTGATTTTATTTCTGTATTACAATCAAGCTGACTAATTTTCATGGATCAGACTTTTCAATGCTCATTGACAAGTCATGACCCTATGCAAAGAGCAAAATGACCTCCAAAAGTCCCTTCCAACCTCAACCATTCTGTGATTCTTGTTAGATATAAATGAGTCTAACTGGATTTTCATTTTAAATGTAATTAATTCTACTACAATTTCTCAAGTGGTTTTAGTTCTCTTCTACTTCACTCCTTGCGACTTTACATGTCTAAGTATTTTAAATTTTTATAGCCCTTTACTTGTGACATTATTGATATAATGTGTAATGAACTAAGAGACAAAACAGAAAAAGCATCCTAAACTACAAAAGTTTACTTTACTTTACAAAACTATTACTATTGGCTAGAAATGCAGTCTGGGAAGCTGTAAGCAATAAATAGCCATTTTGTTCCTGATCCAGTCCACAAAACAGGGATTTGATGCACTCTTGTTTACTTACTAAGGACATTTATAAAGTTATGACTTGACTCACTGTAAATCTTTTTTCATTGATAAGATAGGAAGCTTCTGAATAGAATGTTCTTGCTTGAAATAAGAGAAAGATTTTTTTCCCTACTTAGATCTTAACAAGATTAAAAAAATACAGGTACATATTTTGATGGCAGAACTGCACTCTCTGTACATCTCAAAATAGATACATTTATGATCATCAGAACAAAAATTAAGCCATCAGTTAATGAATTAATATTAATTCACAGAGATTCCTTTGCCAAATGCATACCCTTCTGGCTAAGCACATTAAGAGATTTGTCATAAGTTACTATACTGGGACATCGCTATTAGGCTGAGGTTGTGATTGGGTAAGTGTGACGTATGGTTCCAAGGGAGAGGAATGGTGTGGAAGTTTATTTGAAATAGGCAAGAGAGTGGAAAGCAACTGTTAATTCATCCTATTGGAGATGAATTCATCCTATAGACAAATAGCACAAAAATTTTTCTGCTTGGCTTGCATGATGATCACTGGAAAACTCCAGATTCTGATTAATTTTCTTATACAGTGATGCCATACAGAGCTGAGATACATTTTGTAGAAACATACTGTAGCTTTGGTTAACAAATGAAAACACAGTAGGGAGTTCTTTCTGGAGATAGCTAGCAGAAACACGGTCATTGTGGGCACCTTCTTTTCCTGACAGGTCCTCAGGAGAGAGGACCTGTTTCTAAAGAGAACTCTAAGAGTTGAGTCATGTTTTTTCTGTTGTTGAATTATGCAGCCAGTTGGAGAATGAGGGTGCTTACTGGATTTACAGCAGCATATGGCATGGGCATGCCATTTCCCACTAAAATCACACAAACTACCCCAAGCACTATTACTGGTTCTCATGATACAAGAAGCTCAACCAACAATTAGACATTGAATAAGGCAATTTTCAGGAGAAACAAATATGAAATACAGCAAAATTATTACTGTACTGAATGAAAAATAAATAAATTCCCAAACCAAATGGTTCAGAATTAGTAAGTTCAGTCAAACACTCATTCTGCTTATGCAGATTTTGGTTCTTGTCCAAATACTCACAACCCAGATCCTCCTAAAACCTGCTGCCGAGTTAGTAGCTGCTGCTCATTCGAGTATATGCATTCAATCCTCCATTGAAAGTGGAGGATTCCAGTGCCCAGAGATATCAGGGACTTGATAAATAGAAGTGACTACCCTTTAGATCTTAGTGTTCAGTGAGAACACTGAAAACCTTTTTTCAAGTACTAAAGATGTAATTGCTGTTCACCGAGAAAATAATTGTTGGTAGTATCTTTCAGATAGCATAACTAAATCAAACTACACATGTTCACCAGACAGTTTTCAGTAATGCTTAAGAGTTCACAAATGGATTTAACACATCAGAGTGTCAACCAGAGCAGTCAACTCTAGAATTTGTATGAATTTTCTGCAGAATACTGATCTAGACCACATACAGACTGGTAGCATGAAATATCAACTGTTTCATTCATTAATCTGGTTTTGAAAGTATTTCTATAAACTGATAAAACAAGCCTCCATCTATGTCTAATGTCAACCTAGCTTCCACTCAGTCTTCTGCAAGCAAATGTCTAAATGTCTAATCAACTTCAACCAATGCATGAAAAGCATTTCACAAAGATGTCAGCCAAGCCAAAAAAAAAAAAAAAAAAGAGAAGATGACATACTGGTATGACTTGCTTGTACTTGCCAAGATCATCACACAATGCATTATCACAGCCTAAAATAAGTCTCAAAGGGATAAAATAAGTGAAATTTCAATTCAGTGGAGAGGGAATAAAAGGTAACCATCACCAGGATATAAATTATTAACAGTATATTTTGACCCCACTCCTAAAGCCAGCTGCTATTGAGATGATTTTGCTAAAAACCAGAAATATATTAGAGACTTATGAGAAACAAACAATGGTAGGTGATCGTAAAATCTTCAGCTACTATCTTTGTCACTCTCACTTTGATTTAGACCAGCTCTCTAAACCAGAGGATTAATCTCCAAAAATGCTTGTAAAGGAAGCATCAAGGATTTATAATAAAAATGAAAGTCACACTCAGTACTGGTGAAGTATAATATATTACTCTGTACTTAAAAATGCCAGCAAAAAATAGCATATACTTTTTTAAACTGAGATGGAAACATTAATATTTGACATAGTTACATTTATTTCAGAAAACAAACAGATTTTGAACTGCTCTTATCAATTCCTTCTCTTAAAGAAGACAAAGGATGTAACACCATGGTTACACAGACACAGTGAAATTACAAGCTCATTAAACAATACATAACTGATAACAGTGTACAATTGATGTAGCTGAACACAAGTTTCAGGCACCAGTGTCAGAGCACAGAGATACTCTGTGCAAATGACCCTACTAGTTGAACAATCTGGCTATGAATGAAAAAAAGCAGACCATGTTGATCCACTGACAGCACATAGAGGACAAAAATAGCCAGCAAACAGAAATATGAAATGCTTGCTTTCTTTGTAACAGAGTAATAAATGAAAATCTATTTTAAATGTCTTCTCTAGTGACTGTCCCCTCCTTCCCATGTTTGAAATCAGATCTCCACGATAGTGGAATAAATGCATTTTTTCCAACTCACAGATGACATCCCCAAATATGATGCTACAGCAGATTTCAACTAGAGAAAATACTTATTTGTTAGTCCTACGTTAATTATGAAAGCTTTCCCAGATGTGACTAAGTATGGTCCCTCTGACAATACATCCTGATTCTAAAGGCCAAGACACGCAGAACTAGGAGACGTGACCTCTGAAGTAGGATACACTTGAAGGCTGTTCTTCCATAAAGATATATATATAGTAATAACTGACCCAATCACATATGGTTCAAGACCTACCCTGTTGCCTTACTATATAACCCAGTCCACAATACGCACTCCATATTTATGCTTACTAGAGCCCTTAGAGGAAGGCATGTCTGGTGTGAAAACCCTGCTTTATATTCTGTGGGAAACAGCTATTCCTCTGGAGATACCCAGAGCCTGAAGCACTTTTAGGCACAGCCTGGAATAGATCTATGGAACTTAAGTATTTGAATACTTAAGTAGTTCTAGATCTTTCAGGACTAAGGCCTGAGATTTAAGAGCTTAAGGCAGAAGCCAGGAGCCTAGATCCCCTGTATTGATGTAGTTTTTAATCAGAAAAGCACCATTGATAGAGTTTTTAATCAGAAAATGCCGTTCTTTTGGCATTTAAACCAATGTATAATTTCAAATGATAATTAGAAACCAGGCTATTACGCAGAAGAGAGGTGTCTCACACCAAGATTAACATTTACAGAGCTAAAAATCAGAAGAAATAAACAGACTATCTAAGAAATTTAGACAACACAAAATTGGTAAGGAAAAGAAATCCTGATGTGTTTTTTTGTTTATTTGGGGTTGGGTGCTTTTTGCCTTTTTTTTTTTTAACATTATCTGTTCTTCTTGTTGTAATAGCTTAGTTGTTATGGCAACCATTCATACACCAACAGACTTCCACAAAAGGCTTAGTACAGACAAACAATTCACATTTTCTTCAGCAACAGTTCAAAAAAGAGCTACAAAAAAAATTAGAACATAGCATTGTCAAAGTACTGGGGTTCTTCCTAGTCAAATGATAGCATAACAACCCACCTACCTTCTACAGCCTCTCAATCCACTTAGTACTTCAACCTCTTTGCTGACATTGGGGAATAAATAGTCTGTGGCTAATTACTCTTGCTAGGATAGCAGGAATCACTAGGCTAAGGTTCACACACCTAATTGCCAATAACAGCTGTGGAGCTTCACCTGGTTGGGTCCACAGGATTTTAACCCTTAGTTTACAGATGACAAGATGCTGTAAAAGTCCATCCAGTTCTCGTGATAGCTGCAACTTCACAGTTAAAAGCAGTAAGCAGTAATAAACCTGAAGATTTCTTTCAGCAATTGCATGGTAGAATATTGTGTTTGCTGTAGATTGCATTTTAATGGGAGGGGAACTAATAGATATAAAAGGTGATTTATCAGTTTTATCTGTAAGGTGTTAATTTTGAATTTAGGATTGAGTAAAATCAAAATGTATGTAATAATACCATAAGATAATTATGATTCCTTAAAAGGGAATTTATGCACACAGCTTTGGATATGCATAATGAAGCCACCATTCTTAAACCAATGAAGTAATTATACTGAGTTCAGCAGACCTGCTAATGTATTTGCAACACAACAGTGAAAGATACTATCTTTACTATGACTTGGTGCAAATGAAATCACATCTGTGTAAGACTCAATGGTATTCTGTTTTGGACAGAAGGGTTCAGCCATGCGGAATCGGACTCTCAGTTCACAATACTGAAAAAATGAATTCTTAAAGTGACGTCCCCCCACTTAACCTTAGTCAACCAACAGTTTTAACTTAATTAGTGAATGAAAACTTAAACCCAAGAGTTAGATACAAATATTTACACTGGCAAAAACTACTGAATTTAATAACAAGACTGAGAAATGAAACTGTAATCCTCTAATGACTGCAAAAACTGAATAAAATACAGTTAATTTTCATTGTAGTAGATAATCGGTAAAATTAGCACTGAAATAAACTGCCCATGTGATAGAAGCAAGTGCCCATGTGGATCCCTCTAAAGGAATCCTGTCTTTGTGGAGTAGACCTATGTTTGTAGGAAATACTTCAGTATTTTGTAATATATCCTTTTAGCTAGAACATTTCAATATTCAAAAAAAAAGTGGATGAAACTGTAAAGAACCTGAATTTATTTCTGTATTTTCTGTTCTTTTTAAAATAGGTCTGAGAATACGATTATTCAATTTTTCTCTCAAGCTACTAAGCTGTTTCTTATACATAGTTCGTGTGCTCCTGGATGATCCTACACAAGGACTTGGATGGTAATGGTGTTTTTTTTTGTTATTTCTGCTTTCAAAGGACTGTTTAACTTACAAGTAATGAATTTAATGAATAAATTTTAGATATTCCACATACAGGGATTTGGTTTTATGTCTTACAGATGTGTTTAAAGAACTATAAAGCCAGTTTTACATTGTGAGTGGAAGTAAGAACCAAAATAACAATGTTCTTTTTTCACTTTACTGCTAAAATAATCTTGGCTATTTGCTCAGATACTGTGCATAGATATAGCTGTGCGAACTTGTATCTTTTGGTTGTATTATTACATAACATTTCTATGTATCATATTTATGTTTACATTTATAAAAACAAAATTGCAAATATCTGGTTACCAGTTTATGCAACAATAATTTTTGGATTTTACTTAAATAATTCTAGTTAAATAATTTTACTTAAGTAATTTTACTTAAATATTTTACTTAAAACCCTACATCCCGGAAACAAACAGACAAATATGTGAAACTGAGCTTTCATGCAGATGACTGATGGTAATTTTGTGGCCCTTCGCTTTCTTTTAACATTCAGAAGAGAGTGAGACCAAACCTCCATTCTATACTCATAATGAGCTATGGTCATAATGCGTGATTTTGCACACCTACAGTTGTCAGTATTTGGGCCATTGTGTACTCTTTTTTTTCTTTAATGTTATACAACCAACCACCAATTGTAGAAGAAATTACATTTATCATTTATTCAATCCTTCAGCTGTATTTGTGCCCTGGATATATTGAATCTTCTTAATTCTAAATGCTAATAAGCACTACATTTTATTAACTTACTTGCTTCCAGTTGATTTGATTCTATTGACCTTAAATACTGAAAAAAATAAAGCGCAGATGAAAATACTAAACTTGGGATGATAGAACTAGCACTCTTCACACAATGTTAGGCAAAGGACAAAGTATGACTTCTAGTTTTAATATTTGAAAGTCAGTTAAATCTAATAAGGGTAATACTATAAAAAAGCTGGTGCATAGGAGAAATACTATATTTTACAAGAATCAAATCCAAAGCAAAGTGCGTTAAAGAAGATCAGCTGTACTTAGAAGTAGATGAGAGAAGGATGTGTGAATGGGAAGTATAGAAAATGCATTTGAGATTTTTTTTTTTGTTCAATTTTTTTGTAAGAAATTAGAACACTTGAAAAAGGGCCAGAAAAAAAAGCTCCTTTGAAAAGAAAGAACTGCAAAAAACTTATTTGTTACTCCACATATATCTTAGAATGTCTCTTCAGGGAGAGTAAATGTGTAGGGAGGAAACAAGCTGTAAAGATTTTGGAAAACCTGTAACAGTGATGGAGAAAAGAAAATCCATCCTTAGAAATTTAGGCATAGTGGCACAGCAACTCAGGGACTTGCAATTTTACAGCTAATGATACTTTCTGGCATGAAGAAGCTTCTGATACTGTTTTGTTACAAGAACTTTAGTGATCCCAAATGAGCATATTATTCTGCAAGGTTATGTCTGGGTATGTAGAACAGATTAGAACATCACCACTTCTGCCACAGGTGTACTTCAATCCTTTTGTATTCATATGCCAAGAATTTTCCACATCTTGCAGACTGCTTAATTCCCCAGACTTTTCACAATATGTGTGTTCCTTCGAACTAAATGTTTAACAATTCACCAGCCAGAGAGTGTACTTGTCTTTTCTATATATATTATTCCCTTATATTGTGTTGTAGTACATTGAAGAGACTAGCTAGTTTGTTCTGTCTCTGAATAACATTTGTCTGGCTGAAAAGTTTCAGAGAAGTCACTTTGGCATGCTTACTAAGACCCTGGTCTTAAAGACTATGCCAGACAAACCAGCCCTGTGCCCAAACGGTACCCCATTAATGTCAGTGGTTTTGCCTGTAGAGATCCTGAGGGGCTGATACCTAAACTATTGCCATAATGCATTCTTACAAGTGCAGTGTTAGGAAAAAAAATACTTTCTAGATACTGTCACAGCCTGATGAAAGAAACTACTCGGAGTGATGAGAACATGGCCACAGAAAGCAGTATCACCTGGTTTTTTTAAAGTGACAATTCTGTGAGGAAGGCTTTTCATCACAGACTCCACCCCTGCAGATTTATTTTGTGTTTTTCAGAAATGCCTGCACAAGTTAGTATCTTTCATTTATCCCTTCAGGCACAGCGGGTGTCCAGGGAAGCATTTAAGACATAAAGCATCCTTATGAATGGATACCATTCAGCACTTGTCCCACTCATAGTCAGTAAAAATATAGCTATTACTAGTCTGTGGTCTGCATATCCTTTTCTTTCATGCTGACCTTGCTTGCTAAGGATAACCAAGGATATTTTTCATCATTTACACAAATATATATTCCTATATCCTTACATGACCATTTGAAGGGAGGATTTATGCCAGCAATTCAAGGCAAGATAGCATCGTATGTCCATAGGAGATATTTTTTTACACAGATGTCACCAGTTTCTTGCTTGAATTACTGCTGCATTAATCTCCAGCCTTCCTCACATCCTCACAAGAGGATATGAAGTATGGTTTTATCCAATCTTTCCTGTTGAGAGTAGAGCAGGTATAGCAGGTAAAGCATATGTGATCTTTTTATCCCAGCTTATATATGTGATTGGCTTTGTAGTATCTCTTGGTCTTCAATATTTACTGTGTACTTTCAGCTTTTGAAAGTATAATTTCAGTTGTTTTAAGATTGGAACATGTTTGAAAAGAAATATTTTAAAAATGTAACCTATAATGGTTCACAGTCATTTATCTACAGATACAGGGCACATATGGAACTGAAAGTTATTTTTTCTGAAAAATTTTGCTTTCTGACAGTTCTTTTTCTTTTTAAAAATGTCTGTATCCACTGCCTAGGGTTTCAAACTATTGCATGCATTTTATAGAACACTTAAAAACATAATTAATGTCCCTTTATTCCCATATGTTTTTATGATTGTGTTCACATATGCATTTGCTAATGAAAATGGACTTTGCATGGATGGGATGACAACTATCAGTAAGGAATTAAACCAGAGTTGTTCCAGTCAAAACTACACACCTGGAACGATTGATTGGTGAGTTCCTAATTTAAAGAAGCAAACCAAAAGTGCACATAATGGTGGGAAGGGTAGGGAAATGGGAAGACTAATCCATTTCCTTCTGAAATGGTAACATTTTAACATAGAATAGTGATATTTCCTTAACTCCCAAGCAATTACTTCTGTGTTCCTGTATATTCAAAGCTAATATTTTAAATGTTTCTCTGAGCGTGTAAGTGAACTGTTGGGTTGGATGCTCTTGTAAGATCTGAATTCTATCAATGCTTATACCTTGGTGAAAAAAAATGGATGCCCTTATTTAAAAAGCAATTATAACTAGCAGTAAATGACTAATGGATGCTAGATTCCAGTAGTACTGCAACAGTGCCTATTATCATTGAGTTTACTAAATACTAAAACATGACATCTTTCCAAGATATGACAGCCCCTATGAGTTAGATGTCATTTTTATCATAACACAGCGAAAAATTCACACACAATAACTGTCAAGTTTGTATTTCCTACCACAAATAATTATTCTTCTGCATCCTTAGAATCAAAAGCTCAAATTGATTTATTCTTTCTGGAATCAAAGGGAATGAACTAGCAGCCACTGAAGCTAATGAAAGATTTTCATGTCACTGAGTGTTGGATTACTCCCATGGGAACTTAATGAATGGTTCTGGATTAGAAGTACAAGCGATGACAACACTCGCTAGATAACTACTGATTAAATTTTTTATTACCAAGATTTTTTTTTTTTTAAATAAGGCTGCTCTCATTTCCATTCACATGTAAATATTTTTTTTCCTCTTGATTTTTTTCAAAACACTAACCAGATTTTGATTAATTCCATATTTATTTTCTTATTATAATGAACAGGTCTCCTATTATTTGGGTGAATCGAAGCTTGCCTTTATGGGGATTACAGGTAATATGTAAATGGAAAATTTAACTATTAGCATTTAATAACTGTAGACAATGTTGATTAATAGCATTTTAGTGATGTTAAAGGATACTTAGAACAGTTGGGCTTAAGAAGTGTTCCTAAAATGAGCAGGGTCCAGAACACTGTGGGAATTCTCCCTGTGAAATGTGTTTTTCGACTAAGAATTCCTTCAGCTGCTGGAGTGGTCATACCATTATATTCTTTCACCATTCTTAGTGCAATGTCATTATGGTGGTTTGTACCTCTATGTGATATACAATTTTACCAATGGAAGAATCCCTTGATGAAAATATCTTTCAAAGCCTTGCTTAAAGTATGGACAGTTTGAATAAATTTTGATCTAGGCACTCAGATTACTGTACTCAATTAATTAAATAGGGATTTATTTGCTTATGATTACAGTCTCATTCTAATAAGTTTATTTGATAAGCATAGACATTTATACATATGTGTATGTATGTGTATATACATGTGCATTCACAGTATTGAATAGTTGCAAACAAATATTTATTTTTATTTTTTATTCAACTGGAGTTTATGTAAAACAGTAATACTTATTTGGAGACACTAATACTGTATTGTAATTGCATATTTTAATAATTTTCCAATTCATAGCATCTTTTTTAATTCTAGATAATGATATTGTGAGTTCAAATAGTGCACTCTTCTGAGTGTTCAGTAGTAGTGAGCATTAGCTTAAAATTAGAAATCTTGAGACTTGTTTGACTTCAGGCTCCAGCTGAATTTGTATATCTTCTCAATGGAATATTCCCAGAATATATATTAAAATACAAATATTTGTATGCAAAGGATTTAAATAAATTTTGTGGTTATTTAATATGTATACATTTTTAAGTACATTTTTGATATTTGGCTATTTAAATATTTTTAAATTACATAATACATACACTAACTATATGTAATCTAAGTGAAGGCTGATAAGCTAAGCTCAGTTGCATTTAAGTATTAGAGTCATAACAATTCATCTGTATTGTTTTTTTCTGTTTTCAACTTTCTGAATTACGGTAAAAAAGTGTTGTTTTTTCCAAACATTCCTAACATTTTTACAGAAGAAAGCTGAGTAACTTCCATTATTTACAGCATCTTCTTTCTCTCTGTCTTGTTAAAAGATCATGGTACCTTTTTGGAACAGACAGTTGAAACTTGAGAAACAATCTGGCAGACTGTGTGTGGAGCTCTCTAAAAACCATGGAAAGGCCACCCTACAGGCTCTCTGGAATGTTATACTTGGAAAAGAGCAATAAGACTCAAGTTACAGACTGTGCTTTAGTCAGAAAAATAACAACATTTAAGCTTCATGCTGAATGCTGTTAGCTGAGATGGTTTCAGAGGATGCATGGAAATGCTGTTTTTTATTATCTTTTACTTTTCACTGTAATGCTTAATGTCATATATTCTTTAGAAGCTATTATTAATATACATATTTTATCACTTAAGGTTTCTGTGGCTTTAATAAGTCTCTTTGAAACTCTGCTGCTGAGTTATCTAAGCTACAAGGTAAGTACTTTTCGTTACTTTCAGGCATAATTCATCACAAAAATGCATGTACAAGCAGGAATTTGAGAAAAACACACATGTAGAGCACAGTATATTGTCACAGGCAGCCCTGCTCATGTTTCTCAAATTTATGAGCAAACAATAATATCTAGAGAGTGGAAGTCAGAAATGAAATTTTCTTTTTTTTTCCCATTGTCCGCTGTCACACTGTAATTTGAAAACACATTCTTAAAAGTGACCTGGATTTTTGGATACTGATTTTTCTAGTGCACAGTTTTATAAGTCTATCCATAATGCAAGGTACATGATTCTCATTGATGGCAAAGCTGTAGCTACTCAATATCTATAACTCAAGTTTCAGGCCTCTAAAAATGAACACAAAAAGCAATACCAAGACAGTAATTTTTTTTTTAAATTATGGATACCTACATACTTGTGTTATACAGTTCTCTGATGTTCTTGGAACATCTTTGCAAAATGCCTTGAAAACATCTGATATGAACACAATATATTTTTGTATTTGCATTCTCCTTAAAAAGTTCTATTTTCCTAATATTTGCATTCAGTTTTCTTCATTACATTTTGTTATGTGGTATCCCAAAAAGTTTTAGGTACTCTGCATTTTTAATATCTTCATGAGAAAAATATTAAAAGCATTTATCAAAATAAATATGAAAATACTTGGTTTCTAAAACTGAATATATCTTAGAGCATAATATTATTATGGTTTTTTTTAATTTTTGGATGACTGACATTGAGTAACTATCAGAGCCACCGCTGAAGTTAAAGAGTTGTACTTAAGTGTGCTTGTCAAGTGATTATGGCATAAATGTTTTTCCTTAGTGCCCAATAATGCTAAGATGTGTAAAACTGTCTAATGTCTAAAAGTTGTTCTTCTTAATCCTTGTGAGTAGCATATACTATTTATGTGTTGGGAGTTACAAATGCAAATCAACTATAGGCAGAAACAATTCAAAATTAACATATCTAGTGTCAAAACAGTAAAGATAAAAAGCGATCACAATTTGTACTGTTCCTGAGTTTGTTGGGCAGCATCCTCTCTTTATCCATTCTGCTTGTGGTCTGTGTCAATTTCAGTGAGTAGAGAAGATGAGAGAAATATTGGCAAGTCAGCTCCCATGAGAAGTTACTTCTTAGTGTGCAACGGGTGTAAAGCTATACTGATATGCTGCATATACCTGTCAAGGAAGTTGAGGCCATTTTATGATAGCTGTATTTCCACTCCCCACAAAGGAATAAAAGTAACGTAAGGAGGAATAATAGTACTGAAATGCACTTTGGCAACCCACCTGATGCAAACACTTCCCTCCCTCTGGCTGTCCTCATAGTTACAATCTAGAAATGTCATAATAGACCCTTTTACCCAAGTTTTACACCAGTCTTGGGAAGCCAAGAAGGCTGTTGTTTCACCAACTGTAAGGCCTTTCCGCACAGGCAGGATGACTGTAGGCAGCTTGGTTCATGTAAATCTGTTGCAGATTACCTTTTTCATGCCAACATTTCCAAAGCTTTTACAAATTAGGCACAAGTCAAAGAACAAGACAGAAAGAAAACAACAAGAAGATGATGATTATGTTTGCATTTGTGTGCACATTGCTAGGATTTCATAATGAACTCGTAAAATAAATAAAGCAGTCGTTTGAGAGAATACTCCAAGGAATTTGCCTTTCTGATACTTGGTTGAAGAAATATGAGAAATGATTCAACATGTAGAATAGTGAGGACATAAGTATATCATGCTAATAGGATACAGAAAATTTGCATTTTTTACTGCTTTTATACGCAGAGGAATGCAAAGAATGTAGCACTGTATTACACTGCGGATCACTTTGATCCAAGAATGAATGATTTACAATCTGCATTCTTACAGTTTAACCCATTACACAAGGATTTGCCCTTGATCAAAATTCTGAAAGATGTCTACATTAGAAATTTTCATTGCCAAAACTCGTCACAGCCATCTGGCAATCCTACTATATCACTGGTGCATGGGCAGTCTTAGCTGCTTTTATCAGTACCATACTTTCTTACTGCAAAAGGCAGTTTTGCATAAGACATGATACATTTGTGTGTGGAAGCCAGAATCTTACAGCTGTATGCATCACTAAGTAGCTGGAGCACATCTGCGCAGGCATTTTGCCTGCACAAGTAAATTATGTTACATTTCTATTATTCAGAAAAGAAAGCTCTTAATATGAAAAATGAGGAAATTAGTGAAAACACAGAATGGGTCAGTTGGGAAAATCAAATTTTCTTTTGATTTTATTATTCCTACAAATAAAAACTCAGCTTACAGTCTCATAATTTCACTTCTGTTTACTGGGCTGCTTATCACATGAAATATTTAAGATTATTAAAGTATGTCTAACTCCTACCAAATAACTTGAGTATGTCTACCTCCTACCTTCCATAATTAACATGGAAGACCCTATCCCATAGGTACAATGGCTTCCAGATGTGAAAAGTTAAAGATAGAAAAAGAGTTTTATATGCTATGGAGCTTGTGTTTAATTCTCAGTGGTTATATCAGATGGTTATTTTAACAGGAAGTATTTAATTGCAACTGAATATATAATGCTGTATTGCAAATTCTTGTGATAGTGCCATGATATATGCTACATTGTTATTGCATTACCTATGATGGGGTCTTGATATACAGAGTCAGTAAAGCTGTAAGTCACTGAATTTTAAATACCTTCTTTGTTAAATGTATGGATTTTCATCCCAACATTTAATCATTCACAGTTACTGCCCAGATTTGGAAAAGAAGTAGTATTAATTTCATCCTCTAGCTAGCAGTAAGCAGATTAAAAGATCAGTACCACTTTCATTGATATATGTGGGAAGACCTTTAGTTTCTTGTAAGCAAGATCAAGTTCCCAAAAGCCCTGAAATGTACTGAAGTGTTTGTGGCAGAAATATAGAACTTTGATCTTGTAGTCCTAATTCAAATGTTAAACACTAGATTGTCTTCCTTACTCCTCTCTCTAAACGAGCTGGCAAAGGGAAAATACAAAGTAAAGATAAAAGATAAATGTAAAGGAAGGAAGGACTCACTATAGAATACTGCTATCTTTCCCTAACTTGATTTCATTCCTCTTTTGAATGCTTATCTCTTAATAAGTTAATATCTTAACAGCAGGATTAGAATTAATAAAGAGAAAATTCCAGACCTCTGTGACTAACACGCAGAGGTAATGAAACAAGATTAACAGAAAATGAGCTGGTATTATTTCTTTGGGAAATACAACATATTTGCATTCCTCTTTTGCTTTATATTTTGCCATAAAGTTCTATCAGAATAATGTACAATGAGTGGCTCGTCATTCGTAACAAATGTTAGTATGGACAATAGGGCAGTCACCTGTATATAGGGGTGATGAAAACAGTTGATTTGATGGTAAAATCTTCTGAGCAGGGAATGTCCTTTCCTTTTGTTATATGTCTCTGCAGCTTTTAAGCTGTACTAGGGCTTTGTCTCTAGTTTTTAGAAAGTCTAAGACAATAAGCATTAAGGTAAGAAAGACTTTGGCACAGTCAAAAGTTACAGCATTGTAATACAGAATTTTAAAGATTTAGAGACTTCAGAGAAAAACAAGTAGAAATAGTTGCAGATAAAACAATTTGCCAGCAGGGTAGTCTGTTACTTGTATGAAGAGTCACTGGAAAACAAGAACTAGTAAAAAGATAAATTCCTTAGGACAGGAACCTCACCTATTTATCTATGTGTAAATGTGCATGTATATGAGAAAGTAAACTAACCTTTGAAGAACAAAAAAGCAGGGACAAGATGTCTGTGTATGATTCCAAGGCACCTAAAAATGCAATAGAAGAAAACAGGAGCATATTATTATTTGAAAAAAATGAAATTTAATGAAAATCTTCATTAACTGAGAAAATGACTTGACTAGTTAATGCAATTAGAGTTCATCATTTGAGCAGTCTTACTAGCTAGGTCATAGCAAGGCAATATATCGTCATATGGAAACAGAGAACTATTCCAGTGAAAATACAGATTTAAAAGTATATATTTTTACCTGTGAGGTGGATTATGATAAACAGTAAGAAAATTAGGCCAGAGTAGCCTATATTCTGTATTCACAGTTGACATATGTGTTTAAATCTGAGATGAATGAGCTTCCTGAAATTCATCTAGTGGGAGAGACTCCATATGTGGCATTGGTATATCACATATATTTCTCATCAGAACTATATGTAAGCCTACTGTGACATGCTGGTTTTTTGTCCTTTTCTTTGAAGGGAAATATCTGGGAACAAATTCTGAGAATACCCTTTCTCCTGGAAATAATTAACGCTGTCCCTTTCATCATCACGGTAAACTTACTTGAATTAATACATTTGCACATTGCACTTTTATAGCTGCACAAATACTCTTAATTTTTATTGAAGTAAATTTTAATCTTATGTGGATGACAAATTTGTGCCTGTGGGAACAGAAACTTGTCAACAATAAGAAGATAGTTTGCTACTTGAATGAAGTAGTAATACAGATCACTTTGCCCTTCTTCCCCAATAGGGGGGATATAAAAATCTAAGATATAAAAATCTAAGAATCTCTGGTGTCTGCACTGAAAACTGCCTGTCCTTATTTTATCACATTATCTTACAGTTAATCATGAAGAAAAAATGTTATTTAAAGCCATACCTCACACTGGAAACACATTAATAATAATTATTTTTTGCAAGCGTTTCATTGCTGCTTGAATAGAAAAGCTAAATTCTTGAATATAAAAACTTTTAATGAATTTGTTAATTTTTCTTTCAGATTTTCTGGCCAGTCCTAAGAAACCTGTTTATTCCTGTATTTTTAAATTGTTGGCTGGCAAAACATGCATTAGAGAATATGATTGTAAGTATTACAAAGAAAATAACTATTTTAGAGTTTCTATTTTTTCAGTATGTTATCTGTAGTGGGACTTTGGCAATACAGTTCACTGTCCAAATTTAATAGGAAGATAACCAGGTCTGTTAGGAAGCTAACCAGATCAAATGGTCAAGCATTGCTAAACTGCTTCTGCATCAAAATCAGAAAAAATTAAGACATCAAGTGAAATCTCATATAGTATAAATTGTTACTGTGCCAATAAGGGAAAGTTGGAATGGGTGGGTTTTTTTGCTCCTCTTCCATTCACACACAATTCCAGGGAACTCAACTGCTATGCCTTAATTGTTCTTTGCTGCCTGTAATTTGTAAGATGAGCAGACAGACATTAAGGGAGCTTGCACTAGTTTCAGAATTGTGCCATGATGAACAAAGAACTAGTGAAATAATCACAGAATCACAGCTGGCTCTTTTGCACCCTTCTATATGATCAGCAAATTCTAAGTGCTTTTAAATGACTGCATTTTATCAGGGCACTATGTAGTTCCTCTATAGAATCAACTCATGTTTATTAATTCAAAACCAAAAATAACACCTATTTTCCATTAATATAGAATGATCTTCACAGAGCCATTCAACGCACACAGTCTGCAATGTTTAACCAAGTCCTCATTTTAATATCTACCTTACTATGTCTTATCTTCACTTGGTAAGTGGCCAAAACCTCTTTGTTTTTATTATATATATTGGCTTTTCTTCCTTTATTACATGGTGGTAAAACAGGCCTTGTGGAACTCATGCATGGACATAAAGAGTAATATACTTGCATGAGAAAAGGAATCATTCTCACTTTAAGGAAAAACGAATGTTGCAAAAACACAGGAGAAAGAAGTGGGTGAAAATTTAGATATGTACCAGCAGTGCAATCTCAGCAGGAAAGTCACTCAAATTTGAAAAGTACCAACAGAAGTACGCATATGAAGGTCACCTTCCCCTGACTAGTGAGACAGACAGAGAAAAGTATGCAACATCTCAGCCTTATCACTCTTGATAACTAAGTCACATCCCAATAAGGAGTACAGGGGACATCTGTTAATAATCTAGATTCCAGAAAGTGTAGATTTTATTAATCTATATTACAGAAAGTAGGGGATGGTAGGTTCAAACAACCAAAATGTGTTACTCGGAAGAACTTTTTGCTGCAAGACCTTGAAAGCTTAAATTTACAGGAGTTTGGGAAGCATGGAGAAAATTTGTTGAAAGCCTTAAATATGGGCATACTTGGTTATTGAAACTCATGACCTGGAGGATTATTGGAGGCTAGATAATCCTCCTGGATTATTGGAGGCTAGAGTCTCAAGAACCACCACTTGATTGCCCCATTTTCATACTATGCCATTGGCTATCTGCTGTTGATCAAGGCTGGAGACAGATAAAATAGGCTACGTGAGTTTTAGTATGATCATGCTTGTGTTTGTATAAATGGGTAGTGGTGATAACGTAGCTTGGTAGCTTATTTAACAGACAGAATTTTCTCAACAGTAGTGGAACAAGTAGAGGAAAAATATGTGTGTTACAAGATGGTGTGAAAAGGGACAGTAAACAGAGAAGATGATTCTGTGTGGAAAGGCTAAATCACCTGTATTTATTTTGCCAGACAGGGTGCCTTTGGGTCAGCACTCTGATAAAGTTTGGTCTGTCATTTTGGAGACAGTGATTTAATTTTCTCTTACTTTATTTCTCTAGCTTGTTTTTCTGATAGCCACTGTTATGTGCTGCCTAACCCTTTTGGTAATAACAGTGTAAAATAACACATGGCCTTTTCCAGTCTTGTCCCTCTCTGTCCTTTATTCAAGAAGAGGAGTTTGTTTTAGCCAGTGGCTAAACAAATGGTCCAATTTTACCCTTTGTCTTATGGCCACACAGTTGCATAATGACAAATGCTGCCAGTTCTAAACAGAATTTTTGTGAGATTAAATTTCCTATTGAATATGACAGCCTTTTAAGAGGAAATGTTATATGAGTAAGGACTACAGTACTTGAACCAGGATGCATAAAATTCTATCACTTGGAGTTTTTTAATTGGTTCTAGTTTTGCCTTTTGATTTTTTTACAATGCAAAGCACTCAAGTAAATCTGCCTTTACCCTCTTTACTAGCCTACTTCAATATCTTACTGAACGGCTAAGCAAAATATGTGTCCAATTCTCACTGAAATAAGCTAGTTACAAGAATGTTTCCCAAGAACTTACTGTAATTATCCCTGATTGAATAAGGTGTAGAAGCTGCAGCTAAACAGAACAACGTGCTCACCACCAGGCATTTTGATAACTGACAGTAAAACGTGCAGAAAATGGCAAGCTCACCTACAGTAATTATGTCTGGTCTCAACAGCTGCAGATAACAGCTCATTATAGATCATTATATACTGACCTAGTATTGACCTGCTCGACTGCAAAATAAGCTAAATAGGATGAAAACACCCAGTAATACAATAAGTAAGGAAGTGAAGCACTTTTGGAATGACTAAGAATAGTTGTCCAAGCATCTGCAGTTTTCCTAAGACCGGAGTTCTGTTTAAGCAATTGTTACTATTGCTTACATGAATATACATAATGGCATTTTCACATGGTTTTCCCCGTCTATGTATCATTTTATATTACAGGGTATATTTTTAACATATCTAAAAAAAAAATCTCTATAAACAGTCAAATCAATTAGCTTAATGTATTTGATTATGTTACATCTATGGTGTTTTACTTTAAGAGACATCATTCAGAGCTTACATGGTTTTCTTCCTGCTGAAAGAGGAGCAAAGTCCATTTTGGGGATATGTCCACTTGAGGATGGCTTTCACCAGGCTGATATTTCACATTTTCTGCAACAGCAAGCAGTAACCAAGTGTATTTGCCCCAAACAGATATGGGAGCTAGCACTAGGCTTACCGTTCATATAAAAGAGCACAAGACAAAAAAATTTTGAGATAGCCGCGGTCTGTTTTCATAACCATCTTTTGGTTACATTTAGAGATACTACCTTGGTCCATGAAATTTCAGTAATGCAAAATTAATAAACCTAGATTAGTAGCTTGAAGAGAGCGCTTACAGTTTCAGGACACTTTCCCTTTAGAGTATATTCAGTACGATGGGGACATGCTCATGGTGTGCTTTTGGCACCACTGATAATTGCCCTCACCGTGTCTCCCTGCTGACCTTTAAGGTTAGTGAGCTAATGGCTTTCAGACACTGTATGGATTAAATTGTAACACCACAGCCCTTCTTAGTTCCTGGTTGACAGGCTTGGAGCTTTTACCATCTGCTGCAATAGGAACGTTGGCTTCTCAGCACTTCTGAAGTCAATATAACTTTACAACACAGGGTTCTCTTCAAACCCATACTTTTTTATCAGACACGTAGAAAGAGGTGGCACATACCTTTGTATGGAGATTATATCATTTTACAAGCAGTCCAAGATGGTATAAAGAATCCAGAAAGACTCCTCTTCCTACTTCCATTTTTTATCACTGCAGGTAGACCGGTGCACTGGGAAAGCGCAGCAAAAGGGCTTTCTTACTGCGTCAAGTGAGAGTGAAACCTGTTGTAAGCCTTTTGCGATCATTTCTGTCAGAAAGATTAAAATGTTTAACGTGGCTCTGCCATCTGTCTGTCTAACTCGAACTGAAACTATGTTCTCTCCAGTGTGGAAGAACTGTTCAGTCCCAGTCACATAGAAGTGCCTCAGCACACCCAGGAACCTGGGAAAGAACCTTGGGGGACCTCCTGGTCTCCTGATGGTTTACAATGGAGGGAGAAAATTTGGCATGTCTAAGCCCAGTACACTTTTACTTGTTCTTCTAGTGTGTAGACAACAGCAATGCATTTGTTAACATTTGACTGGATATTTTTATCAACAGAAATTTACTTTAAAGATCAATTTGAGAGATGTATATTACATACAATAGCTGTGAAAAAGTGGCATATTTAGATAAAATATTTTTTAAAAATTATAAATGCATAAAAGGAGCTCTTCCTTATCAACTTTGCTCCTATCTGTATATAGTAAGTATTTTCAAAATAACTTCTACCATAGCTAGCAGAAAACCCACAGAAAATTAATTAAATTCTGCCTCATGCATTACCAGCAAACCCATAGGTTACATCTACACAGCAGAATCTTATAAGTGGTGGTTACACATGTAGATGCATTCCAACTTATAACTCAGGTATAAGCTTTCAGATGAAAAGTTAAAAAAATAATCTAATGCTTGCAGCTAATTGGCTAATCTCACAATTTTTAGATAGCATTATTCAAGCTATACTTTGCACTCAGAATGTAGCGGGAAAAGGCTCCTTCTGTATTTTTGTATATAGTTGTCAATTTTCAACGTTCGTACAAAACAAACAGTAATCATGTAACAAAATTTGTGCTCTATTCCACTCTTGATTTTTTTATGATAATTGTTTATGGATCTGGCGGTAGAACTTATTTGCATTCATAAGACCAACTCCATGTATCTTTAGCGTACAGATTATATCAAGGATTTTTGTCTCTTTTCTTCTGATTTCAAAGACAGATTAGGCTATGCAATAATTTCACTTTCTTTAAATACTTCTGTGGCCTCCTTAACCAGAGCAATTATACATATACTAAAAGATGTGTACTCCTATATGACAGACTGTTCAGCAGTTACTATTGATGGAGTTCTAGTGACAGTTGCAGACCTAGTCAAAGTATATGTTGTGTCATTTAGCTAATGGCTGTTTGCACTTGTTTGTCAAATGGAATATTAATTATTTGTGTAAACTGTACAAGAAGACAGATAACAGTAAATGACTATTTCTGGCATCTTTCTGTGACACAATGAATCATCTATTAAGACTTATTTTGCTTTTTAAATCAGTGTTAGTCATATATCACAGTGTAGAATGAGTAGCTTGTGAAAAAGGTGGCTACAAACTGTTTGAGATGGACATTTATTTTTGTTATATTGAAGTCTAAGAAGCCTGCACGAACTTTGCTTATAAGCTCACTGAGGTCAATGTTAACATTTTTTACCCATCAGTGCTTTCAATATCAGAAAATTAGGATGTTTCCACATACTAATTTACAGAATAAATGTGGTAAGCCAACACTGTAGCCTCAATGTCAATTACACAGTCAAAATCTCATCTGGAAGAAACAGTATGAATAAGTTGTTTGTAAGGATGAAAAAAAATCCAGACAATTATCTAGTCCAAACAAGACAAATCAAGACCTTCAGCTAATTTTAGAGAAAATACGGCATCCCAATGCTCCAGTTCCAGTTATCAGTACGTAGAGACAGACACCTCATAGAGCAATGCAGATCTGAAGGGAACTAAATCACTACATGAAGGTCTGTGTTTCTCTGCCCTGTGTTGATTATATCAGGAGCCTACAATGGCAATTCTCCAAGAAAGATGCATACCATTAAGTAGGAGTGTTGGTGGATTTGGCGGTCTACAGTTCTTTCTGTGATGTTATGTTTTGTTGTACAGCACTCTCAGTGCTCAGGCCCAATCTCTCAGTTTAGAGAGATTTCCTGCATTGAAAAATAGCACAAAATTAAACTGTAATTATGTCATTTAGTTTGATCAAATCTGATGATTCTAAAGTGGTAAAGCACATGAGGTCTCAGGATCTAAAGCACTAAACAGGAGTTGCAGAATTTAAATCCCAGAATATTATAGAA